TTTATTCCTCTTTTATTAGGATTTTTACTAACATTTACTCCTTCGTGCACCTATTAAGGTAGCCAATCACCCCCTTTGACTACCAACGGTTACAGTCTAGCTCCACTCCTTCCTTTCTTTGGCAGCCACGGGCCCGCCCGCCCCCACTCTTCGATTCCAGCCAGCGCACGACCCAACAGGCTTCTTTCTCTGGGTCCCGCAAGCGCCCCCCCCAGCCGGTGCCCCGCCCCCACCGCCCGTCGCTCTCCCTCTGGTCCTGCCAGCGACTCGGCCCCAACCGAATTTTTCATCTTTTTCCTCCTTCCGCTGCTCCTACCCCAAGCCATTAAGGAGGTAACCATTCTTTCTCGCTTTCCTCTTAACTCATTTGTCCCTGCTAATTGTATGCGCAATCATGGATTTAAGGCCAAACAGATAAAAAAAAACACGAGATTTATGCACATACTTACCATGCAATTCTTATACTTTTACATACCTAGCACCTAAACATTCATATTTACATTCATATCTTTCAATTCTCATTTATTAACATTCCTAAATCTTGAACATGGTGATTCCGCACAATTAGCTTTTGAAGAAATTCTGTCTTGTTGATATTTGAAAAGCAAGATTACATGTGAATAATATGAGTGTACTCATTAGTTGGTGTTAGTAGCTCGTTAGTGCTTTGTGAAGAATTATTTACATATCTTGGTTTTTATTATTATTTCAATTTCAGTTGTAGAGATGAAGTGTATCGGGTTTGTACTTCTTTAGTGTTTTTTTGAAGATTTTTAGCATTACTACCTCTAATTTGGATTACTTTTTGTTTGACAGTGTAATTTTTAGTAATGTGTTGAGGGGCAGTTTCTTTAATCGTATTCTATGATGGACAATTGAGTGTCGATGAAAAATTATTGCCTAATCATTTTGGTGTAAAAAAATAGGCTCATTCAAATTTCACGTAATTCAAACTCAGAGGTTTTGAAGCAAAAGAAAAAAACTTGATTTTTACAGCTTGATCCAAGTAGTAACATTGTTAATTTGACATGTATTTTCCTTGTTGGCATGGGATTTATAGTGTCACCCATATATGATGATGAACTTTGTGGAGTCATGTTGGCTGAAGCTTCTCGTCAAATATTGGTGATTGACGTCGAAGTGGAAACTGACTATATTGACTGTCCAATCATGGACGCTGGGACAATACCGCAAAACATGTCGCCACATGATGAGCAAATTTTCACTTCCACACCTACAGTTCTTATGTCACAATCTCCTCGTTCTGTTACACGCCCTTATGAATGCACCGTTACGCATTTCGCAATGTCTGATGAATACTATGAGACAAAAAATAGTGCCTCATCCACTGAATTTGAAAATAATAGTGAAGAATATGGACCTTCATCTCAACAGCCTGTTTTAGGCAGTGATATGGCAGGTCATGGTCTTATTAAGGTTACTCCTTGAGAAATATTGAAGAAGCAGATAACATGATTTTTAATAATGAATACGTTCATATTTGTTGGACAACGCAGGAATGATATAAATAAGTAGCATTTGATGGACCATTTGATAGCACCCCCCTACTCTCATACTTCATGGATATGCCCAAGGAGTTGTTTGATGGTATGTGCTTTCCAAGCAAGAAGGACTTTCAATTTGTAGTAAGCAGTTGGTTGGTTATTAATAATGTGGAATGTCAAACAATTTGCTCTAATTAAAAGTACACTGCATTTTGTGTGCAGTTCAACAATCCCAGTTGAGCTTGTCTATGGCGTTTGCATGGCAGTTGCATTAAGCGTTTGGGAGGTGCATGAAAAATCGGAACTATGGGTGCTGCACACACGTGTGCTAATCCAATTATGATTAGGGATCACCGACAAAGCACATCCAAATTTATTTAGTTACTTTATATTTTCTGTGATTAGATACCGAATAGACCTAAAACCAAAAGAGATTATCAGGCGAATGGAAGCTAAGTTCAATATCGAGATTTCTTATATGAAGGCATGAGTTGCAAGACACAAGTCCATCAAGGAAATATTTGGTAGTTGCAAGGAATTGTATAAGTTTATCAGTCATTTCATGGATGTTATTTGTTCTGTCATGCCATGTTTCATTTACAAAATTCAGTCTAATAACTTTCATCATTTTCAGAGGCTTCTTTGGGCATTCATACGGTATTTCTTAGCTTTTGTTATCAGGCGAATGGGAATCATACCTTCAATTTCTGTGTGGGAGCATTGCAGGCCAATGCTAAGCCTAGATGGCAACTTCTTTCTGACTAAGTATAGCGGAACTTTGCTCGCTGCGGTTGGAAATGATGCAAACAGTGACTTGCTTCTCCTTGCATTTGCTATTGCTGAGTCTGAATCTAACAAATCATGACTAAGGTTTTTAATTTCCCTTCATGAATTGATCCCAATTATTAATTCCACAACTGATCTATGAATTGATCCCAATTTGCCTTCGAGATTTCTTAGATGATGGTATGGGATGCAAGACGCAAGGCCATCAAGGTAATATTTGGTATTTGGGAGGAATCATACAAGTTTATCAATCGTTTCATGGACGTTATTTGTTCCTCCATGCAAGATTCCGTTTATAGAATTCAGTCTAATAGCTCCCATTGTTTTCAGAGACTTTTTTGGGCATTTAAACCACGTTCAAGTTTATCAATCGTTTCATGGACGTTATTTGTTCTGCCATGCAAGATTCCGTTTATAGAATTCAGTCTAATGGCTCTCATTGTTCTCAGAGACTTTTTTGGGCATTTAATCCACATCGGTGCTAAGCTTAGATGGCACCTTCTTGCTAGGTAAGCATAGGGGAACTTAGCTCACTGCAGCTGGAATTGATGCGAACGATGACTTGCTTTCCCTTGTATTTGCTATTTTTGAGTCTGAATCTCTAATTATGTCTATGATGTTTAATTTGCCTTAATGAATTGATCCCAATTATTCACTCAATAACTGATTTATGTATGATCTCGGATAAACATTCAGGATTGTTATGTGGCTGTAAAGATATACTCCTATGGGCTGTTCTTCGTCACTGCTTGAGAAATCTACAAGAAAACTTTAATAATGATATTAGAAAAATGGGAGTAGCAGATGTAAAATTTCATTGCCAAAAATGTTGGATGTGGGAAATACAAATGATATTGATGTTTATAATCATCACATGACTGATATAGAAGAATAGAAAGGTACAGCCTTATCAGTGTTTGATTGAACGTGACATTACGAAATGAAATTTAGTTCATGATGGAGGAATGAGATTTAGGACAATGGCGACAAATGCATCTGAGTGTTTCAATGGGATTTTAAAGCGTGTACAAGGATTACCAATTAAAGCTCTTATTATGTGCATATATTATAACATTGTAGCTCTCTTTCATAAGAGGCTTAACATTGTGGTCTATCAGGAAGAAGCAGATGAGTCATCCATTGCACAACGAACACAG